GTTTGTATCAGTGTGAAGGTTTCACACACTGAGGACTACAGAATGTGCTGCTCTGTGGTAACACATGCACCATGGTTGTGATGGCTCATTTACTAACCCACATGTACTTTGTATTATTATTTGCAAACTATTGTGTAGAAGCTGAGGTTCCAGAAGATGGTTTATCGTCCTAGAAAGTAATTATTTCTGACTAAGCAGCTAAAACTTGCAAATTGTTTCCTTAATGTGGATGCAGTGTAAAATAAGTGAAACAGCCCGTTTAATATATGATTATAGGTTCTCTCTTATGGACCATCAGGCTGCTTTATGGTACCTCTGTGTCTGCTGGAATTATCTCGGACCTATTAGTCTGCTACATGGGGCTAATTGTGTGGTTTGTTTTGGAGCAACGCAGATAACCTCAGGGGTATCAATGAGCCTTGTTCTTCCCACCCAGAGGCGTCAATTCATTGTCTCAGCAGGATCCCGCTTCAAAAAGGACATATTTGAAGCATGCCATGTGTAAATTTGACTCTTGCAGAGCTCTTCTGGGGGGAGACAGATCACTATTTAAAAACAGAAACTCACAGAATAAACGATGACTGTGATTAAATCTTACTAAGAACCGCGGCTTCCAGACAAATGTGGGCTGAGCGAATTAAAGTGTGATTTTCTGTGGCTCCAGGAGACTGAATTCTGCCGAGGAACTGAGGGAAAGTATTGTGTGGTCTGCGAGGCTCGGTGGAAATTCCTTACGGGGAACACGCTGACCTCAAGGCTGACCTGTAAGCGTCAGCTTTTATGTGTGGTTGTGCTGTGGAGTGTGCTATGGGCATTTGTTTATGAGTGTGTGTGTGCTGCAGCGTTAGCGGGTATCACTGATCCTGCCATGTGCTTTAGTGGAACTGCTGTGTAAAAAGTTGATTTATTTTTATTTCCTCTACATTTATCCACAGCCATGTACAGCGAGCAGGCAGATAAGGATTCAGCAAAGTTTGGAGCAGCTTTTTAAAAATGTGATAATATAAATTAAATAAATCAAATTATTTAAAATGAAGCTAGAAACACTTTAAAATGTGATACTGCAATACCACAGTATAATAAACAGCATTACTGCAACAAATCTATTTTCTACGGGGACATTTCACAACGTTTTTGTCAGTTTTATATCATTATTTGCTGCATGGAGGGATTTACTGGACGGGAAGGACATGTGGCTCTTGTGGGGTTCGACCTGGTGACCTTTCCTTTCTCTCATGAGGCTGTCAGTTGCACCAGTGGGCTGTTCGCTCTGATTAGAGGCTGTAACTACAGGAGAGGATTAATGTCTTCACATTGGCTGGTCACACATTGTTTAAAGCCTCAGGAGTGTCCACAGGAAGGACTTCCAGCGAAGGAAACCCCAACTTGTCTCATCAAGCAGAACACACCCAATCTTTGTGTGTGTGTGTGTGTGTGTTTTTCAATAGCCTGTAATGCCATGGTTAGTCAGGCTTGAAACAAAAGAATATTTGGATTTACTGCTATATGTCACGTGTATGGGAGACAACCTTCACAGCAGAGTGTCTTAATAGAGAGGCGTTTCCAAAAGATAAATCAAAAACTGTATTCCAACAGTGTGTGTCAGTGCACGTAAATTCCCAGTAGGTTCCAGATTTAGTCAGAACCGAGAACACCTTTTCCCACTAATTTCTCTCGCCGTGCTGGGACTTGCAGCTCCTGAGTTTGAGCAAACTACAACTGATATATTTCAACATTTTTCTTTTTAGTCACACCATCATCTCACCCTTCCCCGCAACACACACAAAAAGTGAAATGATGCCACAGTAAAAAAAAAATTCAAAGCTAAACTGCCGCGAGTCTTTTCAGTTTGAGCAATCTTCCACCGTGAATCATCTCTCGGCATAGGAAGTGGTTGGCTGATGCCACACACAGACACACAGAGGCTGTAACAGGCTTAATTCTCGCCTCGAGGTAAAGACTCAGCGATCTGAAGAATTGTATGAATTATGAGCACATTTATCTGTCAAATTTAGATGAAATATCCCAAATTTATTTCCTTGTTGCTGAAATACATTGGACGCCAGCATTGGCTTTGGTCCTCTTAGGAGACTGAACACTTTGTGCATGTTTTCATAGACACCTCGGTACCCTGATGAAGGGAGTGTTTGAACAACACGCCGCTTTTTGCTTTCTGCTTCATTCCTGAGATATTATGCAACCCCAGACTCGATGTGGTCGCATAACTCCTGCAGGGATTGATAAGACCTGTTTATGGTCGGAGGCGACGGGGGGAGTTTAGGAAGATTACACGCGACTGTTTGGCCGGTTATGTAGCCTACCTACCTCCTTGCAGACGCTGAGCCCATTCCAGAGCTCGTTATTAGTTCAGTGCTGCCTCTGATTTTAGAATGAGTGAGTCTGTTGTGCCAGCACAAACAAGATCATTCTCTCTTTTTGTTTTTTTGTCAAACCACATCCTGACAACTGATTACCTGAAGTAATGTTTAGTGTGTTTTTATTGCCTTCTTAGTCAGGAAAGTTATTTGGCAAGCAAGTCGTCTGCTTCCTACCCTCTCTACCCCCCCTTCCCCCCAGAGAGTGACAAACGCTCTATACAATAACACCCACTTTCCACAAAACCAAGGTGAGACTCGTTGTATCGGAGATGCTAAAGGAGGATTCTAGTGGGAAAATGGTGCAGCTATCCAAATGGGCACTTGCCATATCAGGAGTCATTTCCTACTTAATTTATCCTCTTAGACATGCAGGAAAAAATGGCTGATTATCCCCTGCAGAAGCCCCCCCCTTCCCCCCACATCCATTTAGAGGGATAGGCGCTTCCTTTGTCATGTGATCCGGAGCTGAATCTGAGGATGAGGACCTCAGCACCTACCCGGCCCAGCCTCTTCTTCCCCGAAAGCGCAAACAAACGGAGGTCTCTGTCAGTGCCCCCAGCAGAAATTACTCCTGACACGCACTGACACAACTTCAAAGTGGCTATTAATAGGTTCATTGGAGAAAATATGCCGGATTTATCACAGGAGAATACGAACCTGAGGCTGTAAGTCTAGATCCAGACTTGTTTTTGTCTCCACTAAGACTTGCAGGATGACATTAACTGCGCTGACCCTGACGAAGGCGGCTTCTCAGTCAAAACATTATTCTTCTCTTGCGCGGCCTTGGAGGATTCCAGCCGTCGTTAATTACTTATTTATGGGATGGAAGCTCTACAGGCGGGTTTATACAAAAAAACTTTGCAACTAATGGAAGTCAAACCTTCTTTAGATGTCAGAAATGTTTACTGCTGGGAAATTTATCGCACGACAAAATTTCACGGATCCTCAGTGCATCTCACACCGTACGGGAACGCTTTGATGAAGGCTCCCCCCCTCATCTGAAATTACAAGAGCAATGCAGAACAGAATGTATGCGATGACAAGCGGTGCAGCGTCTGTGTTTTCTCATCCTGCAGCCTGCTGGGAAGGAGAGGTCAGGCCGATTAGATAACTGTTGTGTATGCAGAAGAGCCTGCTGGGTTCACGTGAGAGGCCCGATCCCTGATACGGTCGCTTTATACAAGCATCAAACTGTAGCGTAAACACAGCTTCATGTTTTTTTGAAATTGAGCAACATGCTTATTAATAGAGGGGAAGCATTACTAAAAAGTCCGTTGATGAGGAAGGCGCAAAAAAAAAATCTAAATTCACTTCCCTTATTTCTCTGCTTCTGGTCCAAAATGAAAAGGTTTGGAAAGTCGCCATGATAATCTTAACTGCATTCAAAGTGCGACTTCTGTTGTTTGTCTGCATCTGTTGCTGCTCTGACCTTTGGCTGAGATGTCAACAGCCCCAAAACACCTGGCAGTCAGACCGTACGCGCAGAAAACGCAACCTAACTCATTTATACAATCGCGCATAGTGATGAATCAGTGATGTGTGATTTTCCTCTTGACACTTAACACGGTTCATGAGGCTCAGCGAGCATGAGGTCCTGTTGTAGCTGGCCAGATGAAGACAGCCTTCTGTGCAGATACTTGTTTGTTTTCATAACAGCCCAGGTCTTTAACCCCGTCCTTGACTCGCTCACATGGCTTCAGAACCGGAGTTATAGGTGGGGTGTGAATAAAAGTGCCGCCGACTGACCTTCGGGCTATGTCAATAAAGCTCCATGTGCTTTCTGTTACTCTCTCTCACATGCTGTGTTGACTCCTCGCTGATGCCATATCGCTGGTACATTTGTCCGCAGCGTGACAAATATTTCACACAGGTCTTATTTAATAAAAGTTTAACGCCGCGTGGCTTAGAATCGTAATCCCACGCGCATCAGAGGCCTCCTGATTTACAGCAGAGCGGCACAGACTGTACTATTCTCAGGCAGAGGAACGGTTAAATTTTCAAAACACCACGTCCTTGTGAAGGAGTCAAACAAAACGTTACAGGATGATAAAATGGAATTCCTATCTAGGTTAAGAAAAACACACACGGCACTGCTTTAACTCTACATAAGCCGATCCGCTCCAGCGCCGCCCCACGTCTCGCTTAACGCTGTTTTTCACTTTGGAGGGTTTACAGCACATTTACAAACACATTCATCTGCAGTTTGCCTCAAAATGTGAATAGCCTGTTTTTGTCAGCTGCCACTAATGACGACTTCCTCTCTCTTTAACCACTGGTTGCCACACAGGAAGCTGGTACTCCCCAGTGGCAGCAACACAAACTTCATCAGACTGTCTACTTCCACTTCTTTCCCTCCACATTGCAAGTAGGACAAATATTAGAGAAGTTCGGTGATGTGAAGTCACACTTGTTTGCTTCAGTCTTCTGATTTGCACACAGTGAAGGTGGAAGAGTAGTCTAATGAGGTTTCATTTAGTAAATAAATAAGATGTTGTGCCAAGAAGTGATTCAGAGTTTCAGTTTGTTATGTTATACTGAAAGTTAAATAATCGAAATAATTCATGTTCCAGTTTTTAAAGCATTTTCTTCATTCAAAAGACAAAAGGTTTCAGGTGCAACTGCTTGTTTTAGACAGTACATGACTTTTATTCATTACTATGGCATGAGTGCAGTATGAAGAACTCTGTCAGTGCATTTAATGGTCAATAAAGACAAAGAGTCTACAATGAAACGCTGCCAGAACAAAACAACAACAAGGCACTTTTGTGACCTATCTGTAATTCACGATTTAAAGCCCTGTACAGCTATAGCTTGATATAACTTTATGTTAATTTAATAGATAATACTCTAAAGTTAGCACCACAACTTACCACAGAAATGTACACATATACAGGCACATGAAGCAGTCAATATCATAACTGTCCCGCTGTTCAGTGATCACATTCCCTTCCAGGTCACTGGCAGAGTAATTGTGCTTAACACAATTACAGTATATTCCACAGGAAAAGGGAAATTAGTAAGTAGTAATAACAAATCCACAGATGTGAACAAAGGGTCATGTAGTAACACTGTGAAGCAGAGGCTGCCAAGGACACGTCCAGTCATTTGCCCTGAGAAGAAGACTTAGATAAGATAAAGCGCTCCAAAGGAAAAAAAAAAAAAAAAAGAAATCCATTGTCTCGTGGAGGTTTGTCTTTTTATGGATGGATGGACTTTACCTTTTATGCCGCGGCCCAACTGTCACACTGAGGACTCGCTGTGGAAGACTTTAGCTTTGAGATTCCTCAGGCTGCACTGCAGGTTGGAGCTGGATTCTGACTGCATGGCCTCAGAGAACTTGACGTCATACGCACTGTTGACCTGAGACTTCCTCTTGATGGAGTTCTGGATGGTCTCTGAGGTGAAGTAGTAAACAATGGGATCAAAGCAGCAGTTGGATACAGCAATGCAGAGGGCTATGGGGTAGATGGTTCGAACCACCGACTCCACAAAGCAGCCCTTTAAAGTTTTAGTGCGGACCAGGGCGTAGAACACCAAGTTCACGTTGTAGGGGATGAAGCAAAAGCAAAAAATAAAAAGGTGCACGATGATCATGCGCAGGATCTTTGTTTTGTTGATCTTCCCTCCGCGACTGACCGTCTGGGGGCGACGCAGAGTGTGCAGCACCATGATGGAGCAGCAGACGTTCAGCAGCAGAGGGATGATGAAGCCCACCGTCTCGATGAAGATCACCATTTTCGACAGGTGAGATTTCCACTGCTTGGACGAAAAGTTCTCGAAGCAGAAAGTGGCGTTTCCCTTGTTGTCATTGGAGGTGGTCTGCAACAAGAACCCCGTGGGGAGACTCCCCGACAGCACCAGCACCCACACGGCGGTGCACACGATTTTGGCGTTGCGCTTGGTTCTCAGCATCCTCGAGCGAAACGGGTGCACGATGGCCAGAAAGCGGTCCACGCTGATGCAGGTGAGGAAGAGCATGCTGCCGTACATGTTGGTGTAGAAGAGGGAGACGGAGACCTTGCAGAGCATCGCCCCGAAAGGCCAGTTCTGGTTGATGAAGTAGAAGACCCTCAGTGGCAGCGTGAAGACGAACAGCAGGTCGGACACCACCAGGTTCATCATGTAGGTCGTGGTCTCGTTCCTCAGCTTCAGGGAGCAGGTGAAGATGTAAATGGCCACGACATTGGTGATAAGTCCAATCACAAACACGATGCTGAAGACTGTGCTGTACAGCGGGTACTTGAACCCATCGTTCTTGCTGCAGGTTCCGTTCGCTGAGGTATTTGCAGACCATTGCGTGGAAGAATTGTCCATCAGGGTGGTCGTGTTGTACATTATGAGAGACAAAGAGTGGAGGGATGAGGGGTGTCTATTATGTAATAGCTATATAATGAAAGCGCTGCCCTCCACAATGAACTGACCATGAATGGAAAGCGGAGAACAGAACAGTCCAACCCTGGGATGCATTGAAACACAGCTGTCCATGTTAGAGAGGACTGCTGCACATGGTCATTCTCTCCCCTGGTCTCGATGGGAGTTATTTTGGGGGTTCCTTCACGTTGAAAAGACCCCTCCCAGAGGACAGAGATCCAGGCCGGAGCGTCTTCCCCTCCCCCTGCCCTGTCTCTCAATCAGGCTGCACCCCACAAGTTACAAGCTCAGTTTTTTTTTGTGTGTTTTTTACTCACTCAGATAAATCAGTCACCCAAACTTGCCTCCTTTTCACTCAAAAAGGTCCGAGCTGCTCAGTCCACACAGCGAATGATGACATATCCACACTCAGAGAGGTGTCCTCATGGCAGGATTCCTTCTCTTTGTCAAAAAAACTCAGTCCTGTATTGTTGGTTCTTTTTGTCCCTTTTTCAGCTCCAAAACAGCAAAGTCGCCAAAAACTTTCCACCTCTCACAAGGTCCTGACCACAAACCACCATGCTGCTTTCCCAAGACTGACGGCTGAGTGGATCTTCTGCTCTGTGTGACAACGTGAGTGTCTTTCACTGTCTGTCCTCTTGTTTCCTGTTCCCTCTCTTTCTGTCTGCTGCTAACTGAGCGGGTCACTCGGGGGCTCTCCGGCTCTCCTTCTAACAGCCTCGAGGGCTTTTTGCTCAGCACTCATCACACTCAGATGGAGTCTCCACTTCTCCTTTGTGCCGGTATCACAGGCAGTTTTTGTACTTTGAGTGGAAGGGAGAGCAGCTGTAGTAACTCCTCCCACCGCCCCTCGTCCAACTCCTCCTATCCCTTTGTCTGCTCTTTACAGTTTAAGAATCAGCCAGAACAACACTGCATTGACGGGGGGGGGAGCTCATCAAAACTTTATAGGTGCTCAGGATTTACTAAAGCTTGGCAACTGAATTCTTTAAGATAAATATTTTTGGAGGGTTTTTTTTTTTATGAGGCTGAGGAGTGAGAAAAAGTTTAGAATGAATGAAAATGTGGGGAACTTTAAAATTAATTCAAACATGTGCATTCATAAGACCAGGAATCTCGGATAAAAAGTTAGTTTTCTACAAATACTCTGTTAGAAATTAAACTCTAAAAACATTTAAAGGTGCGTCATGAGTAGAAACATGACTACGTGATGGAATGCAAGTCTTCTAAACTACATGTTTAGCAGCTATAGGGTAACTATACCTGCAAATCAATGTATTATTTTCATGTAGGAAGCATGATGAGTTCATAAAATTAAGTTAAACTTTGCACCAAATTAACAAACTGCATCATGAAATACTGCTTTATAATTACCTACTGCTGATTTAATAACATGCTCTTTATAATCAATGTAAAACTGACATTTTTCAGCTAAAAAGAGTAGAATTTTTAAAAACAAGACTTCTAATTACGTTTTTTTCCCACTGATTGCTGCATTTACATACTCAATACTTCCCCCATCGCTGTGCAGCATGACAGAGGTCAAAAAAATCTGAAAAACTCCCCCTGTCAGATTGTGTTTTGATGTCTTCTTTCTTTATCAGTCAAGCCCCTAATAAAGACGGGAGGTCAAAAGTGCCTGAGAAGTTCTGTGAAGCCCTGGAAGTGCCTGAGGTGACGGCCTCCGCAGGTCTGATGAAAACTCAACTGTCTCCTTGTTGTTTTTGACAGCTTGTGTGGGCCGCTGAAGAAGAACAGCTTTTTCTATTTTCCCGGCGACATCAGAAATGAGGCAGAACAGAAAGCGAGTCTCTGTTCAGCGGGTTTTTTTTTTTTTTTTTTTCGCTCGTCACTCGGTGCCCACAACTTTCTCTCTTCGGCTCAAAATTGTTAAAACTACCATTCAAGTTCCCCTCTCCTCTTGGCAGTCGCTTAAAAAACTTTGAGGCATTTGTTAGGAGTGAAGTATCTTAGCAGGGAGGAATGTGGAGTTTATAAATAATTAGTCTAAGACAAGTTGAAAGAGCTCTCAGCTTCTTGATCAGCCCTGTAGCGAGCCAGCACTGTAAATTGTTTGAGTCTATTTGTGTTGGTGGTGGTTACTGTGTCCAATAGGAAGCACACTACCTGGCTGGGTTTCCTGTCAGTAAACGAACGCTTGTGTGGCAGATCAAACGGTTGTTTTTGCACTAAATCCGCTCTTTGGAGCTGAATAAGATCATGCAAAGATAAAGACAACTTCGGCTGCTTGTTATTGGTTGCAACAATATTTTCCCGACTCCAGTGATAGAAACACGACACTAATCCGCAGATGCTTCATTCTGACTTCACAGTTACCACCACTATGCAAACAAATGAAGGGAAATCTCGCAGGGAATCAAAGAGACAGAGGGTGTTTTACGGCCAGCGCGCCTCTCTTTGTCAAGTCGCAACAAAATAAACATCATCAAGGCTGGAGTGAAACGTTCAAGAAAGTAGAAAAACCTGTACTATTGTCTTTCCCCTCGCAAAATAGTTCCATCCAGCACATAAAAACAAGCTCTTCACATGCAAGTATGTGGTCACTAAACAAAAACATGTGCCTGAAATCCCTGGACTGTTAAATTTCTCACAATGCCAGGAAACAGTCTGGCACCCCCAAGGCCAAGACTGAAGCCTTCAAATAAAAGCAACGGTTTGTGACATAACATCGTTGTGTAATGATCATCAGCGGCAGGCACGAGTGTGGTCGGACGCAGACTTCGAATTTTAATGTCGACCTCAGACTTTGACAAATCAAAACCAAAGAGCTGCAACATGAGGTCAACGTTAACACCGAAGGCTCGACATGCGAAAATGTACTTCGCGTTGTTGTGCAATGAACCCCAAAGCTGTTCCTGTGAGAAACATCCAGTCAACGGATGATGACATGTGCTGCGAAAACCAAAAAAGATGTTCCGTAAAGGTGCAGATTTGGCTTCTGTCTGGGTTTGTTGCAGCAACTTCTTTAAAATTCCAGTCAAAAGCATATATATTGCTCTTTTCAGGCAGTGTTATTTATTGAGCTTTAAGGGGAAAGGCAAGTGGATCTTTTTTTTTACCTTTGTTTAGAACCAGGCAACCTGCTGCGCTATGCTAACTGGATATATCTTCCAAATGACACACATCAGGTTAAATCTAAATAAAATATTTAAATGGCCAAGGAGTTGGTGGAAGTTGCTTTGAAGTTTGGAAAACCAGCATCAGCAGCGCAACATACTGTGTCCACATCATTCCTATTAGTTGAATAATGTTAAACTGGTGTATAACAAGTTGAAATATAAATTTGATGCGACATACAGTTGTGTATGGCTCGGGACAAGCCATTTAGGGACTTTAGTTTTAAGATCTGCGACTCCTACGACCGTCAGAATAACAAATTAATCTTGAAGGTGCGTCTAAAACAACACACATCCTTCAGCACCAGAGGCGATTGGCGTTCGACGACTGCGAGGTGAAACGCAAGCAGCCCAAATGGAAACTGCAGAACAGAAGTTGCACTTGGCAAACGGGACATTCTGGACCGCGGGTGCTCGAACTGAAACTCAAAGGGCTTTCACAACTCGCGCTCTCCTGCTCACCTTGGAAACAGAAATTGTTGTGCTGGCGTCCACAAACATCACAACAGTCTGAACACAAACCAGTGAGGTCTGGGAGGCTTTCCAGGAGAGCAGAGCCTTGACACACATCTCATACATCTTTGTGTCACAAGTGAACATAGAAGAAATACTGTTTTTAAAAAGAAAGTAAGAAGAGTCCTAATGGGCGTATCAGGTTGGGCTTTTTATCGTTGAAACATGCCTGAAGCTGCTTTCTACCACATACCTGAAGAAGATATGACAAACACAGATATTAGTCAGTGAGGTAACTTTATCTTCATCTTCTTTGGAAAGTCATGATGTGTTGTGGATCTCTGTGCTCCCCCACGCTGCCTTATCGACTAAAGCTTTTGACTGCTTTGTAAAATAAATACTTCCCACCCACGAGCACTTCACATTTCACCTTCCCCCCCCCCGGAACTGCAACTACTGACTGTACTGTGTTGAAAAAAAGTGTCAGCTTGTGGTCATCTATTTGTTTTAACCTGGCAGTGTCTGTAGTGTAAACTGTAACGCTGCAGTCCAAGAGAAGTGGGTGAAGTGTCAGGTTCACTCGCACCGGAAAACAAAAGCGATCGTCTGTTTAAGATAGCAGACACCAATAAATGAATAAATAGTACAGACCAGATTTAGCCCCTGCGTATTGTAAAGTGTCTATGTTAGCGTCCTCGATTTAACACGCAGCTTTGCATGTGAGTAAATTGTATGAAACCTTAAGTCTTAAGCTCTGACAAGCAGCATTATTGGGGTTGTCCAGTCTCCTGGCATTAAAAGGCCCCAACACCATGTTTGGAATTTAAAAACCTCGACTGTTGTACCATTTTTTTCAGGGTAAAGCCTCACGGTTTATACAAACACCCTCTCCACCGACCAGAAATAGTCGAGCAGATAGTCTCGTTTTTCTGCTTCACCATTCATTTACATGTCTTAGGGTGCACCGTCGTCCCGAGTGAGCAGACTGTTAAACCGCAGAAGGGTATAACAAGCTATATTGCACGGCCGGATAGCCATGCAGAGAAAAGAAGAGCTTGCACATGTACAGGTTTCACACAAAACTAAAAGGAATCAACATATCAGAGTCAGAGATTAGTGTGAAACAGGACGCAGGTTGGGTTTTTTTTTTTTGAAACTCTGTACTCATATATGCGGGTTGAAGAAACGACCGCATCGCAGCCACACACCGGTATCAAGATGGTAAAAATAAAAAATAAAAAAAGAAACCAAACAGAACCGATAACCTTTCACATGCTATAAGATCAACACAGAGGTTGAGAACAGAAGCCACAAAGGAAAAACCCTGCAGGATATTCTTTAATTAGAATTAAAGAAGGTAAGTGGTGCAAAAATATAGTAAGCACATTTACTCTGAACTTGAATTTTGTTTCTGCTTTACTTTCCATTTTATGCCACTTCTCCAACCCCACTACATTTCAAAGGGAATTTTTTTTCCCTTCTTCTCAACTCTTCTCTCTAATTAAAGGGATTTATTGTGACCAAATAATACATAATTTGGATCACATTTTGGAAAGGGTGCAGGGGAATTTGTAGGTGGCAGTGAGCCAGTTACCGTTAGCAGCTGCGTGCACTTCCTCATTTGCCATGTAAACCGTTTAACATGTGTGTCTGCGGTGTTGAGTAATTTTTGTGCGACCGTGTACGTATGTTTAGTCTTAGGCTTATCCAGATTATAACATATTAGCTCGACTGACGACCTAATTCTGCATACTATACGATGAAAGGGCCCCTTAAAAAGAAACCTAATAAGGTGAAATGACAAACATGTGGTCCCCGACAAGAGTAATGCAAAATGAACAGACGTGAAAATAAATCAAATTATCACCGTATATAGCAAAAATGCTGCATGTGGATGTGACCTATAATATCCTGCAGCTTCCCCAACTAGTTAAAAGCAGCAGAAAACTTCCATAGTGTACTATCTCCAGAGCCATGTGGGCGTAAATGTAACATCATTTGTTTTGGGAGTAGCCATCAGTTGGAATAAAGTAAGTGAATTATCGTCTGTGACTTGGTGATCTGGTTTTCATCACAACATACCCACACATGCTGTTATGTTCCAGCATAGCTTGACCCTTTGGACTGAAAAACACATTGTCAGCTTTTGTCAATTTGCTCAATATACGCCAATTAAACTGGATTCCCTTATCTTGTAAGGCATCCCTGCTGTTCTGGCTACATCCTGGAACTTATTGGCAGGTATTGGAAATCTGTACGAAGGCCGACCGGCTCGTGTGACAGCAAAAGCACACTTTAGGAGCCACGCAGGCATACACGTGAGTTAGCAGAAGCTTGCTCGCGATGAGTACATGTGAAACACCAGCAATAGTAGGTTGCAGTATACACTCATAGGTGCTACTTCCTGAGGAAATTATACAACAACTAGTTTGTACATGAAGTGATGCATTATGTCTCTTTCAGTGCATGCATTTCACTCACTGTGTGCAAAGTCGTTATTATCTATTGTTTTTTTATTTTTTACAGTCAATGCATGCCTGAGTTAAAGCACCTCTGATGTGCAGGAGGGTGATGATTGAGGCACACGGTCTGAAGTGTGAAGCAGGTGTGAAACCAGCAGGCTTTCAGCAGAGATGCACGAGAAACATTCATACTGCCCCCTGATGGCTGCTGTTGATGAAACAGTCACCTCAGTGGGATTTGCAAGAACACATACATCAAATCGTGTAGTTATTCATTTTAATATAGAGTACATTGTCAAATGTAACCATTAGAGTCACTGTAAGCAGCTCACAGCATTTTCATACAAAATGACAACACACTGGCAATTTTAGTAATTATCAAAATGTTCCAAAAAAAATATACTAATTGGCTTGTTAAAGTAATAACATGTTGTTACATTCTAGTCAGACTAATTAAGGAACTCAAGATGGAATTATCTGGTAACTACATTTAAAGACCCTGTGGTCCTACATGAGACTTGGCAATTACACTGAGCCAGAACTATTCCATTACCACAAGGTGCTACCAGGTGGGACTTATAAAGAAACTCTCGTAAAAAGAACCAGAGGTTTGCTGCCAACATGTTAACAATAAAAAAAAAAAAAACAATAAAACAACCAAACTTTTGTAAACATACCAAATTACAATGAAACGCAACTGTAAAATCAGCTGCATCTACAGTGTAACGTCACTGACGGGATACACGGGAAACAACGTGTTCGTGTAACGTAGTGTACAGCTGCACAAAGAGGGTTAATCTGATCACAAGTTAGCATGCAGTCGAATGCTCTTATCTCCCATAAATGTGTAACTGACTGCATCCTTTTTCTAATTGGTCTGCCTACGTGGTGGCGAAAGCAACTGTCTACAGCAAAACAGTGCAAACGTTAGTCAATACAAATATCAAACAGCAACTGCGAGTTTGGATGGCATATGAATAACTAAAGCATAACTACAATATAAAACAAAGTGGCAAAACAGCGACTTACGCGAGATAAACATTGTCATTGACCGGATATAAACTAAGCGATCATAAAAAGGTGTCAAATATACGTTTTCTAAAACTGAAGACTTAAATAAGACTTCTCAATCCAGAAAGTTTGAGAATCAAGGCTTGAAAGAAAAGCAGCACAATGTGAAGAGTTGATTGATGGCTGACTTGTGTGTAGCTGATCACTTCCCGCCTATATTGATCAGACATAATGTACAGTACTACAGAATGATATTGAGAATTTGTTTTACTGACTAATAAATAGCGGTGTGATTTAAAAAAAAAAAACTCCCTAAACCTTCATACTGCGAGAGATTATGTAAAGCATTCAGCATTTTCAGGCATCCTGTCTGCTGAGCTGTGTGGGGAATCCCTGCAACCGTCCGCGTGTTGACTGGCTGCATCAAATGAATCCGACACAGAATCAGCCAAGCGTATTGTCAGTAACACAAAAACAACAGACACACAACCACTGTGGCACATCTTTCTCTTCAGCCTCTGCGGGCCGGTGGTGTGAACCAACATCTACACCCCACGCAAACCACCGTGTTTGGGCCAAGGTTTAGAGCAGTAATGCAGCAGCAGCAGCAGCATCACTTTGTAGGTGAAACCTTAACCCGCTTGCCTCGCCACTATTTACATCCTCAGAGACAAGTCTTTGAAGTGCTGAGCTGCTGGGTGTTTACTTTGGTCGAGGGCACACACTCCTCTGTGAGCTTAAACCTCATCGTGTTGAATCCGTCACTACTGGCGGCACTCTAGTCAGTTTTTGAAGGCCCCGTAGCGACTGGCTTTACTAATGAAGTTCTTGAGCAGGTCATGATCCATGTCTGCAAAGGCCTGCGTCTGCGTGACAGCTGTTAGATGGTTGACACAAAACTTGAAGCAGAACTCCTCCAGGTCCTAAAAATGAAGAGGGCTATCTGGTCAGTGCTGAGGAGTATAACGGACTAGCTACTGTGTAGGCCCCCACCGCTATGGTGTTTTGACTGTGTGTCAGGGGCTATGAGCTTACCCGGGCCTCATACTTGACAGCAGCAGAGAGCAGAGTGATGGCATTCTCTTCAGAAATGCCCCTCTTGATCGTTTCCTGGCACAGCCTCTTCAGCCTTGTCTCTCGGTAGAACGTCGCCAAGTCTAGCAACCCTGCACACACGTGATCAACACATGAGGTGAGTGTGGCTGCACGGACTCGTTTCGAGGTTTTCTCTTGGGGCTGTAAACAACTTACCAATAGCATCCTCTGGTGGCAGGTTAATCGTGTCGGTGTAGAGATACTCCAGAAAGGCTCTGTACACCAGGTATGAGAACTGGTGGATTTCTATGGCATCCTCGTCCGTTTCATTCAGCAACGCACGGAAATGCTCACACCTGGAGGAGGAGGAGGAGGAGGAATAGGTGAGTACTCTGGTGGCATGGAGACTGTTTCAGCAAGTGTTTGCATATATATTGCAAATTACTGTCTATGTCAATCATGTTGAAGTGCCTCAAAAACATCTTACTGTCCAAGATCTCAAAGCGAGGTTATATACAGTAGTTTTATTATCATTTTCAAATACCACAGCGCAGTAGGCACTTAATGAAAACTGCATTAGCATCCAATGAACATTGAGTTTTGGCCCAAAAAAAAAACAACTAATGAAAATAACAGCTGCATATGAAGGACAAATATCAAACAAATCAACAGCATAATATGCAATATAGATAGACTGTGTGTATACAGAAGTATACGTGATTAACTGAGAAGCTAAAAATGACACGAAGCGCTGACTTTGTAACACAGGATATTGACGTCTCACCTACAGTGTGTCGTGTGTTTGGTTGATTTAACTCGCCGCATTAAATATCATTAGTGTTCCAACGTTTGTCTACCGGAACTCAAAAACAGCGTCAAGCGTAAACAACAGTTAATATTCCTGCACACGTCTACAGAAATAGCTATGGGTCTTGTATTAAGAGTGTAATTGCTACTGTTGAAGCGTAGCTGAAAAACCCCATTTTACACATCGCATATTTTAACTCAAAATTCCCTTTTCAGGCCGTAATGTGCTTCCTGAGGCAAAGTGGAGTCACTGTGCCAACAACTACAGCCCACAGTGTTTTTCCAATTTGTTCCTTACAGACTCTTGCATTAGGAACACTGATTAACATTTCTTTTTTCCCCCCTTCAAACCTCCCTCACTGCTGATGTCGACTGGCTCAAAACACTGCCTCTATCATTTCTTCTCGGGACGCGGTCGAACAAATAACTGAGTCTTCATTCTCGAATGCGTCTTAAACATATCATTTCCATGTGATCTCGCCAAAGCAGACGCTTTGCACTGTTGCATATTCGTGTGAGCATGTGTGCGAAGGCTGACGTTGCAGACAGTCTGGCTCCTTCCGACTGACAGTGCAAAAGAGCAAGGGACTGGAATGCAGATACTTTGTGTTCAAGTGTGGTTATAAAAAGAAGCACGGGAAACAATAGGCCCGTCTTTGCTTCCCCATGACTTTTAACAGGAAAGACAAGGAAACTCTGTCTAGTAGATGAAGTTCAAATACTGGAAAAACAGCATTCAGCCCGTATGTTAAATTCATCATCACAGAGAGACGGCTCAGTGAGTGTGTTGCCATGATGGCTGCACAAATTTTAAAAAATGTATTTTGTTGTTTTGATTTTAAGGTTTCTATAATTAACAATCAGCCAGTTCTGCAATATCAAAGTGTGTTTCTCTTCCTCGAAAATCCCAGGGTGGTAAACCGAGCGTTCTCATCACACGCGATCGAGCACAACCTCTGAATGTGAAAAATAAACCCATGTGACCAGAATGAAAGTCAGGATGGAGAAGCAGGCAGCAGTCAGACATCAGGGAGGAAGACCTGGAGACGCTGTTTCAGTTCCACAAAGATCATTACGTGCACCCGAAAACAATTCCTAATTTAGCTTCATCAAATAAGGAAGCCAAAAGCCAAAAGAGTGTCTTCTGAACAAAAAAATTCATTCAAGCATTACAAAAAGTAAATGTCAACTGGGGCGATGCAGCGGAAAATGTATCACTTCAGTCGATGTTGATGATCTATTTCTAACAGAGATCAGAAGAATAAAGGCTGACTTTGAATTGAACCCCTTTGGTCTATTTATCAAGGTACACAAGTAATAATTTAAATGTTAACACTACAATTAAAAGCAGACACAAATAAATAAAATCACCCACGTAAATATAAATAAATAAGGAGACAGGGATGATCTCACTTTAACACACATTAAATCAAGAAAACAAATAAAACCTGGAGGCCATCAGGACAAAGGGGCTCCGTTATCAAGTTAGGCTGTTTATGATCCAGGAGGGAGAAACACGGGGTTTGTTTATGTCACCAGACTTTGTGTTTTCATTATAAGCTTTCATAGGTGCTTGCATTTAACTATATCCAACACTCTCTCAAACAAACTTCTTGTTGTATTGATAAAGTGTCTATCGTCAGGACGTCGCACTTACATGGCCCAGGCCTAATGCCAAGTTGCAAAAATTAAAGGTGGGAAAATAATCATCACATTAGTTACATTTTATAGTTGAGTGTATAGTATAATGACCAAGTGGTTCTTGTTTTCTGTACCTGATTTTCAGCAGCGCTTTGTGAACATGGATGCACTTCCCGTCAACCAAGAACTTCAGGTCTGAAATCTCGGGACTGTCAAACTCCTTTTTCAAAGACTGAGCAACTGTCAGGTAGTCGTCACCGTCTGCAAAAACAAAGAAAAAATATGTTTTTTTAAAATGAAGAAATAATGAATAAAGTGTTTTCTAAGTAAGACTATCTATGCAGCTGGGTAAGTGCTCAATTATGTGTTGTGACTACTTTTACTGTCACGTAACAACAGCTGCATTTTACCGTAAAGATAGAGCACATCTACAGCATTTACTGGGTATTAAAATACATTCTTTCATCTAAATCACATTTAAAGACGATGCCTTTGGACCATGCAGTTATGACTCTCTGTAGGGGACATAAAAAGGAAATTGTAGGGAATCACAAAATTTAATTGGTGCCACTATTTGTTTCTCAGCAAAAAGACTGAACTCATGAGAGCACTGATGAGTTCAGCGGTTTGTTAATTTAGCAGAATGTTATTAAACATGTCATTAGTTTGAAAATGGAATGTAAACAATAAAATGAAGCTTTCAAAGTGACATGGTCGTGGTCGTCAGTTGGAGCTGAGTTCACATAAACATTTGTCTGACGTTGAGAGGAAACAGAGTTTCCTGTTTGTTTCTTAGACCATTTCCAGGAATTTGCACCTATGACACACAGATATGTGCCCGCTGCATAATTAACTGATCGCAGAGTAAATGCGACAAAGACAGAAATGGCAAATAATTAACACCAAATTTCCTAATAATTCTCGACTTTAAGAAACCTGTGTGTTCTTATAAGACACTCACCTACTGAGAGGAGGTGCCACGTGACTGCTGGTGTGGCGAAGCAGGCAAACACATCGTCTGTGCTGCTGAAATGGGTAAGATGGGGGCTCGCCACGGCCTGACCTCGACACTGACCCCACATCAGAACCTGCCCGCTCTGCGTCTTGGCAGCTGACGTGTGGCTGGTGTGACATGCAGCAACCTCCACCATCCTGGAGAGAGAAAGCAGCATTCAAACGTGAAAGAAGTACGAGTTTATAGCCTTCTTATGAAGTGTGTGTGTTGAAATATTTCTAATATAGTTAGTAAGAAGTAAAATGAAGCATGTTTCCACAGTGAGCACTACTTCTCCAGTGACACTTCTTTAGAGTCAAGAATCAATCTTTATTACTCTGTGATATTAAAACACATATAACACTTGAGGCGTTAAGCGACTAAACAGATTTATCTCTCAGGATCTTATCACGCAGCCCTCGGGGACTTGTTGCAGTGACATGATGTGTTGCTGCTCATTTTGAACGAGGCGATGGCAGAGGACTAACCTTTCCTTGTCTGTGTTTATTAGGGTGGGGAGAGCCTGGTTACTCTTATTGCCTGTTCCCAACTGCCCATAAGAGTTTGCTCCCCAGGCGTAAACAAACCCCTCATCCGTCAATGCCAGTGTATGCGCGTATCCACAAGCAACCTGTATTTGAAAGGAAGAGTGCGTTTAAGGTGAATGTCAACAGAGATAAACACACAAAAACAGTGTTTTATTGAGATTTAGTGCTCTTCAGGATCTCACCTGGACGATGTTGACACCCTGGAGGGCAGCGATCCTACACGGCGTCTGCTGATTTCCATTGTTGCCCAAACCTAGCTGTCCATTGCAATTGTAGCCCCAGCCATATATCTACAAACAAAAGGACAAATTCAGAAAATGCACAAACAAGGGCTTGCATCCAAATATTTCTGCAAACTTTCTGAAACTGTTAATCCAGTGTTCACACCTCTTGGTGCCGTGGTTGGTGGAGTGTGTGCAGGTGAGACGATACACTAGGTTTGAACGCCTCTCCTTTTCCAACGTGTTTCACAGCCGTTTATGGAACTCTCGTGTGTACAACCAAGAGAAACACTACAAATACATCCTTGAGAAACTGTAAATGCATGTTTTATTCCCTGAATCTATATTGTATATCTTCCCCAACCTGTATGACAGTTGCTTTCTCCATCTGGTGTCAATTGTAGCCATCTGAATCAGGTTAATGTGCTTTTAATTTCAAATGCGGTCCGACAAACTGCTTCCATTCTTGTACAGTGCCGATTTTAGCCCCCTTTAAACATCTGCGTACTGCTGTGGCCCATTACCTCGCCGTTGTCCAGTACAGCCATGGAGCAGAGCTGACCGCAGGCTATGTTAACCACCACTTTGTTCTGCAGGCAGCTGCTGACCCGTCGTGGTGTCGGCTGGTTGGCAGTAGATCCTGAACCTACTTGGCCAGAGTTGTTGTAGCCCCACGCATACACCTGAACACAGAGATAAATGTTCACCGTCCTACAGAATACTCAGATTAAGCAGAAACCAACTAAATCAAGGTCACAAGAAGGGATAAATCACCTCTCCATCGGTTGTAAGGGCGATAGTGTGGTGGGAGCCACAGGCCACTTCTGTCACTCTCTTGCTGAGGAGGTTAGTGGACACCAGAGCAGGGGTCAGGCCATGGTTGGTGGTCCCATTTCCCAGTTGGCTGTAGCCATTGTGGCCCCAGGCAAACACCTCTCCGTCTAGACAGTAGCAGGTAAACTTTTATTCATGTTGTCACAGTGGTTAATATTTTATAAAAAAAAGATAAGAAGCGGTCGACTTCACATGGTTTACAGCTGGGGCTCAGCACAACTCCTATCAGACATCACAAATACTGTTTACTCTGCGTTTATGGAGCTTAAATATAGCTGGAAAACAACAGAAGTGGGAAGATAAGGAGAGGAACGCTAAACTGAACTGCACGTGGGGAAAAAGTGTCACAAAAATAGACACACATAAATAAACTTAGTAGACAAGGAGGCAGCAGGATAACACTGATCACACCAGTATGGCAGCAGCTAGCTGTTTTCTGTACTATCGGCGACTGCAATTTAAATTGGGGAACATGTTTCTCCACATGGAATAGAAGAATGAATGAATAACTGGTCATCATCAGATACGACGTGGAGTTTAAGATTACCATTGCTACGTATCACCACACATTTAAACAGTGTGAAGACATCTGGAAAAAAGGCACAAGCCATTATCTAAACAGATCAGTCAAAACTAAAGCATGTATTTGAATACACATGAACTTTTATAGTACATTAACTCATATAAGTGTAATGTTTTATGGTAAAGTGTTATAAATTTCTCTCGGTGACACAATATGGGCAGCAACGACACAGAAGCGTCGTAAAACTCGATTTTCGTTGTGTGGCCTTGTTTGCCCGCGATCTCATTCCTCTGCCTCCTGTGGAAATTTCACCTTGGAGACAAATAAAAGTTTGCTGAACTGGATTACCTGCAGTAGCGATAACCACATGTGGTCCTGTTCCATAGCTCAGGGACACAATCTTCTTTCCACACAACACATCAATCCTGCGTGGCTCAATAGTGCTTTGAAGGTCTCCGAGCCCTAAACAGCCACTGCAGTTGGTGCCTAAAGCAAAGACCTGCAAAGACCAGACAACACAGCTTTAGTGCTACTGATGCTAATAAATGATACGTACATGTACTGATTCTACTGATACCCCCGTAAATATTTGGTGGGACTTGCCTAAAGATAAACATTCATGTGCATGATTGTAATTAAGGTTACATAAAAGGGTCCCGATGTAAAATACTACCAAACAAAAACAGAAATTCACACCTGGTATTACTATTTAATATCATCAATGAATGTTTTGTTTTTTTAATACATATTCAATAAAGTCAGAAATCTTAGAAAATATCAAATTGTGACTGCCTAGGAGATTTAAACTTGATTTTTTTTGTCAAGCGACCAGTTAGCTAATGGATTAATTATTTCAGCACTAGCAGCAGTAATAATTTCTGAAATGATCTTTTTAGAAATACTGCCTTCCCAAAATGTTTTCTGTATGAAATAAAAAATCAATAAAAGTAATAACTGTGCACACAGGCCAGACTGAATGTAATATAGTCTGTAATTTTGAAGTGAAATCCACCAAAATACACTTCTAACTGCACAAGTTGCTGCTCTGAAGCATCAGTTGTTTGTGCCAGAGGGACAAACAAATAAGCGAGGGTGGAAAGATGAGGCACGCACGGCTCCTTTCCCCGGGATAAAAATGGAGCTTGCTCAGGTATTAGGCCTATATGGCTAAAGATAGCCTCATTCTATCTGCTTATCCCTTTGCCTGGAACTGCTCTCTGTATCAGCGAGAGAGTGAGAGGCCTGAACAATTTCACGATCCATTTCTAAAGCATAAACAATCAAATCAATATTATAAAAGTAGATTCAGTCTTTCAAGCCTTGCAAGGTATCTCGATATACACAAGAGGGTTAAAGCGACCTCATGTTACCTCATCGTTAACTGTGACATAGAGGGCTTCATTTGCAGCACTGCCAAAGACACAAGCCTGCCGGATAAGCCGTAGTTCCTCAGGAGGAAGGAGCGCAAACACTGGCCACTTCCCCACGTCCAGCATACTATTCAACTGTGAAAAGAGGAAGACACACAGTTAAAACAGATGTGAATTCAAGGCAACTGTACTGTACAAGACTGAACTGATTCAGAATGTAAAGCAAAATGCTGAGTCACAGTCAAGCAGGAGTGTGTTGTCATGTTCTGCTCTAGTTCGTAAACTACAAATTAGTTTTTTGGTCTAGTTGTTAAAAAAGATCTAAACAGCTGAATGAATATGCCAAAATGAAATGTAATAGAAATTAAGTACTGGATCATCTTTAGCAGCAAATAAAGCAACAGAAAGTAAAAAGCGAGTTGATAAATTATCCAGCAGGTTTACTATTTTTCAAAGTGCTCAGCAGCAGACAGTATCTGGGCACTGAGCCCAGCTTTATAAACGGATTAAAACATGTATGCACACTGGCTGGGGTAAACACATTGTGTGTTTACTGACAGAGTGAGAAAAGCCCAGGTTATGTCATCTCTACATTTACCATAAATACAATCTGCACAATATGTTCATGGAGAAAACACACGTCAGGGGATGTTCTCAGCATGAATGGGTGCTAAATGTGCTGCCTGTGCCTCTGCAATTAATGAAGATCAGAAATCAGCTAGATTTTATTTTTTAAAGATAAATATAAGCTCATAAAACCTACTGTACCCCTTGTGCATGGCCTTTTTTTCCTTCTTTACAGCCAACGTAATACATATTTGTGACACTACTACTACATCCAGCTGGATCACAAGCACCAGGCGTCCAAAATTGAAGTCTATACACCATTAACTAACACTCTAAAGTTTCATACAGGCCCTGCTTTTCTGTCATACCTGAACAAAACTGGAGAAGCTACCTCTCAGTGAGTAATAACTTGCCCTTAGCATGGACGCCCTGAACACACCGCCTTTATGACACACTTCAAATCAGCGAGGAAAACACCGACAGCGCAGAAACTCAGCACGCTGCGTAGTAAAACTTACAGGCTGCGTTTTTAAGCTAGCAGCACAAAAGTTGCTAACGTGTCAGCTACTACTAACGGAAACTGTCAACTCAAAGAGTGTTATCCAACAAAAACTATTAAGCTAATTAGCGTGAGGAGTGTTGCTGCTGCTGCTGGGAGCCGCTGACGGCTCCAACTGTTGACGTTACCTTGCCGTTGTTCTAGCTAGTGTTTCTTCCGCGACGCCGTTTTTTCTTACCAGCGGGAACCATTTAAAAACTGTCAACCAACATATTTGGCGAATAACCTTGGTGATGAAGTCATGTCCGGAGGTCTGGTAAAGGCGTAGTTTCACATCAGCCGCTGCGGGTTGCACCTTGTTGTAGCTAGCTTTGATCGCTACAACCACCGCCTGAAAAAAACACCACTTTACTTCCTGTTAATCGGACGGTGCGTTCACGGACCGGCGGAGCTGCAAGCTTCTGAAGTTTGTTATTGGCAAATTGTCAGTTTCATAGCAAGTCATTACAAAACTATCGGCTTCAGAGTTTTAAAAAAATTAAAAAATAAAACATTTTAATGGGGAAATTCGTGATATTAAAGGATTTTTCTTTCAAATGCCAACAATCCATCGACTTTAATCAAAAAAATCCAGTAATTTATTGTTTATTTCCAATTTTAAAATGCGTGAAAATTGATTTTTACAGTGAACAGTGAACATAAATCATAGGCTACAATACACCGTATGTCATTTTTGACAAGTCATATCGAAGAAATATATTTGCATATATTGTTTTTCTTTTTCTTTGGATCCATCAAATGCATGTGGCTATTTTCACTTTGTATTCCCTTTTTAAAAAATTAATATGCCACTTCATTTCTCTGATTAAATGTCTCTGTCTCTTAACTGTTTTTTATTTGGAATTTTGTATCGTCTTTGCCTTATTTTTTTAGGTGAGTCAGGTAATTTGTTCGACTTTAATATTGTAGATTCTTAATCTAAACATTTAACTTATTAACTCAGACAAAATTTGTATTGTACTGTACTTTTAACTTTACTAACTTGCCTGGACTTTTTACGATTTAATTGTATACTTTTACATGTTTTTAATTTTCCCATATTTTGTCTTGTCATGTTGTTTTAGTCAACAATTTCTAATTATTCTACACAATTTGGGAACTTTCTTCAACTTGTCCGTACAATTTAATTTAATTCATTGAATTTATTCTGCTGTATTTTGTACTTTACCTTTCCTGTAAAGCACTTTGAATAACTTGTGTGTATAATAAGAGTCCACACAGATAAACTTGCTCGCTTATATAAAAACTTGCAGGGTCTTAATCATGATAGTTGATTTAGTCAGGTATATTATAATTTTATACAATATTGTAGAGTCTTAACCATAATATTAAAATCATTCAGGTAAATTTACACAATTAATAATATCCAAGGTTTAGAATATTAAACTAATATTTAAACTTGTTAGGTAAATTCAAAACAACAATCTTATTTCTCTACTGGAAAGCACTTTGGTTTAACAGCTGTTCTTTTAAATGTACTATGTGAAAAACGGTGACCCTTTATTCATTTTCTTTTGTTTACTAAAAGAACTTTGCATTTTGGTTTTGTTTCCCACTGTTTAATAATGTATTACCTTTCTGTATAGTGGTAACTTACAAGAACCAGAAGTCAAACCCATGAGGTTAAATGTTCTTGGCGGGTTCTCTGACCCACAATACTTTCAGTATCTGTTCTTTGTTTTCCCCTGTGGCCTCTTCTTACCAGAAGCTGTGGAGAAAACAGCAGAAACAAATGTAATGAGGAAGACAAAGACCTGATATCAGTCTGTCTCAGGGGGTCATGTGGAAGTGCAGCTTTGTTCATCTTTATTTTATCAGCTTTTGCAGGAGGACTTCTTTTCACTTCGAACTTCACTGACCACAGTGACAAAAACAACACAATCCTCCTTCATGATACCAGCAGGTGGAGCCGTGGATAACCCAGTCATGGTGCATTTGAGTGCAGGACACATTGCACATGTTTGTGCCAACGCTTCACAGACATTCATTTGACATCTTTATATATTTTATGTGAAAATACAATATTTGAATTTGGAATTTTATTTTTACGACAAAACTGTAAGGCAATAACTCAAATAAATTTCCACTGTCATGTGCAACACTGGATGGATAAATAGCTCAATAAAATAAACTTAGCAGGTGTGTGTGTATGTGTGAATTGTCTCTGAGGTTTTCACTAATTTAAAATCTATACTTGTCATACCAGTAATTTTTAATGCTTGTTGTTTTGCTGTCTACATAACTGTGCTCATATGAGCTATTTCTGACGAATGATGGATGGACTAATGGCTGTAGATTTTAAGTGTGGTACTGCAGTGAAGCCTGGGATACAAAGGGAATCACACAGCAAAGAAATGTTATGCTGAGTTTGTTTAAAGTTTGGTATGCTGGGAATAGACTGTGAGTGATGCTTAGTCTGTGTCCAGGTGATAAATTGCCAAATATCAGTACCAAACTCCAGATAGTTTGAAACAAACACATAAACCATCCTCGGTTTTCTACCAAATAATCACGTCAGGCTTTCATCATATATTCATGACATACAGTCAGTAATCACTTCTTAATGCATTTGCAAACTTTAAGCTTTTAGTTGTAGAAGCATTTTAAATCTATTCCCTGTTTACTTCTTGTAACTTAAAGTCATGATATTCACAGTAGAGGACTCAGGATAAAAATGAATGAACACTACGAACACTACCCTTTGCAGGCATCGTGATTCTATTAAGGTGGACTGGAAATTTCCAGTGAAAAAGCTGGTCACGGTTCAGCTTTCTCTGATGACATCTGTCGCCGCGGAGAGCAACACGAACTCTGTTAAAGTCCGTTATGAGCAAAGCAAAAGCGGTTCTCTCGGTGCGCCACATATCACACATATTTGTCTGCGAGTGACTCGGCGGACGAACCGGCCGCAGACACGTCAGCCATAAGGTCTTCCTTAAGTGGTGAAAAATGCAGGTGGACAAATGAAATTCATTACAACAACACCGCATAATCGCCGCGTCCACGACACGAGTGAAATAAACCACGTTGCAATTTCTAAAAACGTTTCTCTTCACTATCTTGGAATTTAGGATCCGACGTGTGTGTTGCTCTAATACGCATGCGCATTAAGCCCTGTAAGCGATGGCGAAATTCCTGCCTTTTATGCGAGGAACAGGGTTGGATGGAAAGTTATCTCGATAAAACTGGCAGTTAGGCTCACATTATCGATACTTAGAGTCGTCACTGTTGCTCGCTAGTTACTTCGATCTGCTTGAGGTGCAGTTAACACAAGCCATCGGCGCTCGTAATAGGAGAAAAGCACATCATCTTGCTAACTATTGGCTAGGTAGCATTAGGTAGCTAACGCTAGTATGTCACATTTTGCCTTGTCTTGTGTTTATCTGGGTAGCTAGCGAGTAATCAGTCTCAGGTGTTGCAGAAAGTAGCAGGTCGTCGGAGCTTGCTGACATTAAGCTTTTTTTTTTTTTTTTTCCGGGAAGAGCTGCGGAGGAATCATCACTGTGCATCGGCGTGTCAGTCAAGACTGCTGCTGCTGTGCCAACTGACTGAGTGAGTAACGTTAGCTGCGCTGTTGGGAATAACTCACTTGTGTTGTCCAACCGTATATTAACTGTGTCTCTAAAAAAAAAAAAAAGAAATTCGAAATAATGTGTAAGCTCGTCGACACGTCGACTGCAATGCTGCGTTGCATTTGGATAACACACAGCTATGACATAACGCTGTGGACACACACACACCTGTAGCCAGAGTAAACAATTGTCTCGGGTGCAAGGTAGCTAACCTGGTTAACGAAGCTAACAAATAAGAAGCATTAACTCTAAACGTAGACGTGTATAGTGTGGCATGCTAGACAAAATGACTTCACGTGTGTAGTTATTCGGTTTGGTGGTACAGAGTAATGTTAAATAAAGCTGAAATATGGTGATTTAAATGGGCAACGATAAGGCTGACTGAAATGCATTTATTGGATGTCCAGCTGTTACACCGTGTGCAGATGTCAGCCATTTAAAATCATTTCTCCAGGTGCTACAGCTAAACATCCACGCTTGTTTAAAACATGTTAAGACGATTTAAAAAAAAATTACAATTCATCGTACACTTGAGGCCTTGCTCCTCATTACTATCACGGCCTTGGTTTAATTCCTATCAACGTTGTTTTCAAGACTGAAAACCTACCTAGGCGGAACACACTATTATTCTATCAATTCACTGTGTGCTTTTTTTTCTTTCTTTCTTTCTTTACCCCCGAGTGGCCAAAACTGTAACCGAAAAACAGCTGCTCTGTCCTTGTCACTGCTCCCTTAGCCACAAACAAATATGCTGCACAGTCAAGGCAACAACAGATGTGACCACAATGCACATATTAAAGTTTATTGTGCTGCAACAGGAAAGACTGTGCACAGGGCCTTCAAGTGTGATGCAGCCACAACAGGAATTTAACATTTGGATCAGCTGGTGTTTTTCACCGGCTGTTAATAGGAGGCAGCAGTGATTCCTGATTATTTGTCAAACTCGTATAGCCACATCTCTTCTCAGAGAAAGCATGAGAGCAAAAGGGGCGGTGGGGGGGTGCGAGGGAAGTACCTACACTCTATTTATATTTTAGCACAGGCAACATGTCACTCATGGAAGTATTTAGTAACTGGAGTATTCAAAAACACCTCACAATTACACACACACACGCCCCAATTAAATGACATCATTTTGGAAAAATGCATAATGACCTATTAGATCTTTCTTTCCTGCAACTATTGACTTCACCCATTGTGTGAAAGGTGGGTGGTCTGGAGGAAAGAAGATAACTGCCAGTCATCAGGGATTCCCCGTAGGAACTTCCCATTTTACTGACCTCCAGGTAGCTGTTGTGATGATCTGGCAAATAATTTCAAACTTGAATGGGAATTTACATGTAAATGGTATTGAGTAATATGCCGGTTCATTGCAGTGATTGACTGAGAGGCCCAAGGGGCACAGAAGGAGTCTGCCATTCATCTAGTAATACTGCTAATTCCATGTCAGCTCTCTGCTATAGCAATAGTTCCCTCAAGTCTAGTTCATTGACCATCACACTGTAAACTGACTTTGTTATTTAAGCTTAAGGAGGGGAGGGACTAAAGCTGACAGATAAGCCAGATCACTGTGAGGTTTAGGGACGCATGCGCCAGAGTGTAATTAGGTTCAAGGACATGTTACATTCTCATGCTGTTCTGTTGCCTTTCAAGGAATTTTCGTTTGCCATGTAATCTTTTTTTTTTTTTTTCATGCGTGGCCAGTCCTTAA